CAGATGAGAATGAAAATTATTGCTAAGAGAAAGAATGGAAAATCGTATAAGATGCCTGGGGGAAAATAACGTGGCATGTGTTTTGGTAAAAAATGGGCAGGTGCTGAGAGAGAGGAAGAGCGAAGGGGGGGGGGCGTGAGGTATTTAGGCATTGTTGCGGAAGTATAAAAAGTTATTCTGGGAACGGAATTTCCAGCAATTGGCTGCTTTTAATGACATTAATGAGCTGGAGTCGGACGTTATAGAGACAACAAATCTGAGATCTGATGAAGTAAAGATTTCCAACTGAATTTGGGTTCATAATCGTGAGACCGGCAGACCGGTTAGTTCAGCTGATCTTAAGCCACGTTTACAAATCTATCAATGTCACATTATAAGATATATATATATATTATAAATTTAATTTGAATGAAATGCTGCAAAGTTTGCATTATAAATTTCAATAAATTTTCATTATTTGTAAACAAGCGCTTAAAAGTTATAAATATTTCAGGCTCTTTTTTTGTGTTTTAATTTGTTTGCTTTAATTGCAAATAATTTTTAAACTTTGCGTCGAAAAGGCGCAGCCAGAGAGAGAGAAATACAATAAAAAAGGAAAGAAACAAAAAAAAGTCCGGAAAATGACTGTGGAAATGGGCTTGGCTGCGCGGCAGCGGAGTAAATAAATTGCTATTAATTTTTCAGCGCTGTTCGTCAAGTGGCGAATGGCGCCGAGACGACGCTGTCAGTGGAGCTGGAGCGAGGGGAGGGGCTTACATAGGTCACCTAAAGTGCATATAATTTTTCAATTTGAAATGTTTCGTGTGCAGACACAGTTTGTTGTGGCCAGAAAGGTGGACGGACCCAAATGAATTGTGGCCAAAAAGTTGCGACTGCGAGTGTGTGTGAGTGTGTGAGTGTGTGTGTGTGTGTGTGTGCGTGCAGGCGCAGTTAAGCAAATATTTAATTGCTGCACTTTTTGCGGCACTCGCTGAAACTTTGCCAGTTCCGTCAGTTGGTTTTATTTATTTTGAGTTTTGACCAATAATTTATGTGCTGCCATTTGCTCCACAATTATGGCCAACTCTCGCTGGCTCTCTCTATCTGTCTGTCTCTTTTCATGTGCGTCCATCCTGCTGGCTGGCCGTTAATGATGTTGACCTTTGCTGCAAAATGTTGCACGTTGTTAACATTAAAGTCTGCGGCCAATTTAAATGGCTTTTCAATAACAATTGCTATTGGCCAGGGCGAAAGAGCTGCCATAAAAAAGTGTTGCCTACTTATGTGCGTGATTTCCATAATGAGCAATTTGTGCAGCGATTGCTGCTGCTGCCGCTGCTGCTGCTGCTGCTGGTGCTGCTGTATTGCTTTTTGCATAATTAATTGTTTTCACACATAATAATTTAATACGCTTATACACGTGTAAAGCGCAGCGCCCAGCCCCGCACCGGCCACATCAATTATAAATATGGCAATAAATGCGCATTGGCCATAGTTGCAATGTGTCAAGCCAATGTTGTGTTGGCCAATATCCTGTTGCCATTTGTGTTTCAATGTTTAAATGTCATTAACAAAGCCGTAAATTATGTGCGCGGCCCCCACAGCTGCGTGCAAACAGGTTGGCCAGCGCCAAGGCTTAATAAACTCAGCCTCCCACATCTCCGTCCAGCTCGAGCAGCTTTATTAGCTTTTTGATGCACGCAGCCGCTGCTTATGATGGGTTTTAGGTAAATATTAATAATGCCAGTGAGTTGTACAAAGAAAGGCAACGGCAAAAAAATGCAGCTGCTACAGTGAACCTGGCCTAAGCTGAACATGAGATGATGTACATAGAAATTATTTTCTATGTATTTTAGAAATTTGTATAAAAGTTAATGTCATATAATAGAACAAGTTTTCGTTTGTTTTTATCTTTTAAAAATTTGTCATAATTGAAGCATTTCCATATTCAATATTTTAACAAAAATAACATTTGTTTCAAATTTATTTAACTTCAGATATTTTGCTTGAAGACAGCAAAAAACTTATAAAAATGTTTGTTATTTTTTAAAGAATTTCGAATTTCTATATTAGCTTTCTATGTATCTTATAATTTTAGAAAATATTTGCTTAGTTAAAAATAAATGTTTATATATTATTAAATTTTGAGTATATATCTGAGAGCCCTATGATGTATATATAGTTTGCCTGCTTTGATCCAAGCTGCAGCTTTTAGCCTAACCTGCGAGCAGGTGCCTCTGTCATTCTCACTTCTCCTTTTAAAACAGATTTATTTCCAATATTTGAATTAAACCCGAATATTATTAAAAGTCTGTAATATATTGAACACAATTAGATTTCCTCTGATTCCTTTCCACTGCCTACCTCGAGCACTACTATTTTTATGAACAATCAATTTTCAATCTTCAAATTCATATAAATTTATGAAATCTGACCGAAATAACGGGACTTTTTCATAATTCTCTTTGCATTTAATTCTAAGTTAAGAGTGAGCAACTATTTATTTTTTAGTGCAGCACTACTATTTTAATGAACACCCCAGCATATGTGAGTTTTATAATATATTTAATATATCATAAAATATATATATTATATTATACATCAAATATCATATATAATATATATTATAGACTGATTCAAGTCAACCCCCTTGCTCCCTAAACTGCCTTAAGCACCTTTTAGCTTAATCTGAATTTTCGCCCAAATGATCTGTGCTCTGGCTGTCCCTTACAGGCAGTGTTTACTGTAACAACTGCCCGCTCAGCCTCATACATGTGTGTAATCAACTTTTTCATTTCAGCTCCACTTGCAGCAAGGTAAAAAAGCACCAAAAAAGTAGCAGAAAAAAAGGAAAGTTAGGCGAACTAGCCACATATGAATTTATGAGCTGTGCCTGATGGGGGCGTTGACTGCCTGTGGCTGGGCGAGCAGAAGTGGAAAAAATGCAACAAAATTATAATTTATGTGGCTTTAATAGCCGCTGGCTCTTGCCTTACGCCACAAGGTGCAAGCGTGTGTGTGCCCCACCCTGCCAGCACAACTTGCTGCTTATCGCTGGGCGTCTTAGGCAGACCAGCGACTACCTCTGCCTCTTCCACTCTCTTTCTCTGTGTTTTTTATTATTATATATATATGAGCTGGAGTGGGTTGGCCGTAAGTGTTAGTATGTCTTATCAGAGCCCGTCTGTAGCAACATTTATTTTAATACCTTATCACATGGCCAGCCCAAGACAACAAGCAACAGCAACAGCAACAGCAACAACAACTGCACAATTGGGAGTTACGAGTGTGTGACTGACACGCCAGACTCTATATACCATTATATACTATATATGTGCCTGTGTGCGTGTGTGTGTGTGTCTCAGACCTTATGATAGGCCGCCACAAAGTGTGACAGGCGCACGCACTTGCTATCTCACTCCATTGTGCTTGTATCTCACTCGGTTTCTTTTTGGCCGTAGCCAATGCTCCCCTGATAATACTTTTTGTTGTGCTCTGTGTGTGTGTGTGTGTATCTGTGTGTGTGGTTTTTTGGTAAACGCCTACGTTTTTATTTAATGCCAGTTCAGTTTGCTTGTTTTTGTGCCTATTCTGTTTTTTTATTGTGACGGTGTTGCTTATCATAGTTTATAGTGTTTGTTGTTGCTGCCGCTTGTTGTTGCCTTGCTGATAAACTTTACGTAAGCAGCAGCAGTAGAGAGAAAAAAACACAATCTTTTTAATTCCACGAAAAGAAAACCTCTTGAGTGTAGCAACCTCAACCTCAAGTCCACATATGTGTTATCTTCACAAAAACTACAAAGAAAAAATAAATGTAGGGAAAAAAAAGAAACAAAACGAAACTGGGCTGTCCCAAGTGTTTTAGACTTTATCTGGGGCTTAATTATTTTCTCATTTGCTTTCAATATATTTTATAAAATATATATATGTATAATGCATATTGTGTCAACAGGAAACGTGGGCATATTCATAAGGTTGGCGCTGTGCTTGGCACCGTTGTTATCCGTCTTACGTTATCGTTGCCCATTTTCCGCTCACATGCGATGCCAACAACAACAACAATAACAAGAAGAAGAAGAAGAAGAAGAAGAAGCAGCAGAGCCAGAAGAAGCCGAACAAAGCCTGCGCATTGTGTTCAATGTGCGCTGCTCAAAGATCAACTGAGGCGAATGCTGTGCGTGTTGCTGATCAGCTTTGAGCGGGAGTCTTAAGTTAACAGGGAGTCGCTTGCAGCGGCTGGCGGGGGTGGTTGGGTTGCATGGATCTGCCTCATGAGTAACTCGCGCTTGTTGCGCTCAATCCCTCAACATGAACTTCAACCCATTCCAAGCATAAAACACAAGCAAAGCAAAGTGACTATAAGAAATATGGTTTTATCAGTCGGGCGACTTCAGCGATTGCTGAGTCAGAATATATAAATATATATAGTAGCTATAAAAAGTGATATATGTATATATAAAAGATATATATCTTAGCTAAAGGCATCTCTGTCTGTCTAAGTTAAAGCTTAGATTGGGCAAAGTCCTTAAGGCAGCTGAAACTTTGAGTTATTCACTTATATTTCGCACGTTTTAGGTGAATTCAAATTGAGTGCAAATAAAATAAATAAAGCTCTTTTGACTGTCAATCAAATGAACTTGATTATCTGGAGGAGCTCAGAAAATTAAATATTTATGCTCAGTAAGAACTCAGAGCTAAGAGCTAAGAGCTAAGAGCTAAGAGCTAAAAGCTCAGAGCTAAGAGCTAAGAGCTAAGAGCTAAGAGCTAAGAGCAATCAGAGCAATAGGAACTACTGCAAGAAGCAATTCTGTAAATGAACTAGTTCAAAATAGCAAAAGGTAATTTGAACTAAAGTCAATTACAAGCCAAGCAAATATCGAACTGTTAATTGAGCTAAAATTTGTAGTCGAAAGGAAGAGCTTCGTTGGTTCAAATCGTGAGCTGAACTAGCCAAAAAGTTCTTTTGAACCAGTAGTTCCCCATCTCACATTGTTCTAGTTATTTAAAAGATCTTAGCTCACCTGTGTCACATTTTGTGTGGTCTGTGGACCCGTGGGCGAGTGCAGCAGCTGGTGCTGCTCGAGCTGCTCGCTGCTGGCGAAGGCGGCGGTGCACTGCATGCAGGCAAAGGCGGCGCCGAGGTCGCCCGTTGTGGAGCCCGGGCTGGAGGTGGAGCGCGGCGCACTCAAGTCCAAGTCATAGGCGGAGTTGCTGCCGACGCTGCTGTTGCTGCCGGGCTGTGGCGGCGGCAGCAGCAAGGCCTGCTGCAGCTGCGGCGACTGTTGCAGCTGCTGTTGCTGCTGCTGCTGCTGTTGCTGCTGCTGCTGTTGGCTGGGTGAACTGGCGGATCGGGCGGATTGCATGGCCAAGGCGGCGGCGGCCATGAATTGGGCGTGCAGATGGGCGGGCAGCTGCGGCGGTGGATGCGGCAGGTGGGCAAACAGATCGTTGGGCGTGGCTGCAACTGGTGAGCAGAGAGGTGAGTGCTGGCTTCTATGGCTGCCGCTGTTGCTGTTGCTGTTGTTGTTGTTATTTTGATTCTTTGCTGTTTCGCTGTTGTTGTTGTTGTTGTTGGTAGCTGGAGATTTGGCATAGCGACGACTGCTGCTGCTCAAATTGCTCTGCTCATCCTCCTCCGCCTCGCTCTCCGGCTGCGCAGCCTCAGCGGCCGCACGATGCGCCTCATAGTTGAGCTTGTCATGCGGATGCTCGTTGGCAATGTGCTCGCTGAAGGACTAGAGGCGAAAGAGTGTCGTGTTTAGTAACAGTCTTAAGGATAAAGTTGCTTTTTTATTCAGTTTCAACTCACCTGGAACTCAGTGAAGCGCTTGTGGCACTGCGTGCACTTGACCAAACAGTCCTCAGCTGCATTGGCTGTGGCGCTGCTGGCCAGCTCTGGGTTGGCAGCCGCATTGCTGGGCTTGTTGTGGGCTTGGTGGTGGTGCAAACTGGAGGCCAAAGAGGAAACTGCAAGGAGTGGAGCAGAGAAGAGCGAAAGTGAGCTAAGACTGACACTGATACACTGAGAGAATTACAGTGCCTATAATTAATAGCGACTATACAAATATATATATATATATATATATATATATATATACACACATACATATGTATGTAAAATACAATTCACAATAGACACATTAAAATCTGAAAAATAATTGCAACAAAAATACTATTTTTATTTTAAATTAAAAAAAAAAATTAAAGATATTTATATAAAAATAAACAATTTTTAAATAAAAAACTGCTAAAAAATATTTAAAAAAAAATATTTAAAATAAAAAAATATTAACATTAATATTATTAAAATTAATAGAAATATTAATGTAGTTAATAAATTAAAAAAAATTAAGAACAAATTAATTACTTATAAGATTAAATAATTATTATTATAAGAATTAACATAAAATGTGTTTTATCAATTTAAAAATAAATTAAAATTTTCTTTTATTATATTTTAATAAGTATGTATGTTTTATAATTTTATAAATTTATTGATTTTTTTATTTAAATTAATCCCACTATATTTTGTGTTTAATTTAACAAGCCAATATTTTTTTTAAATATTAACTGCTTATATTAGCTTATAAAAAGATATTGAAAATCTTTTTAGCTTTAAGCTTTAAGCCCTTTTTAATTACAAAACTGTTAATAATAAATATAAATATATAGAAATACTAAAGTGAATACAAACACAAATATTTCTATTTATTTACGAGTTCTTATTCTTAATAATATTCTTAATAATTCTTAAAAACGTATTTAACAATATATAATTTATAAATTCGTTAGGCTCCCAAAAGAAATGAAAATATATTGGAAACTATTTTTATAAATTTGATGTACGCCATGCGAAACAAATAACTGAAAAAAGTTAAAGTCAACAAATTAAGCTTTTGTTTATCAGCTTTGATTATTGTTCATTGCAAAACATTAACGTAAATGTTGCTCAAATAACTTAAGATGGATATTTTGCAATTAAGCTGCTCTTCGCTTTTCGTTCTTCGCTTTTGTTTTTAATGAAAACAAATTAACTGTGAGATGTGTATGGGCGATAAGCACAAAGACCTGAATGCCATGCCACACATAAGTGAGGCAAGTGGAGCAGGGCTTGGGGCGAGGGGCAAGCGAGTCTCGAAGGCGCAGGCCCTCAGCCGCCGAGCGATCTGCACATGCCGTGTGGTTGCAGGCAACAGCAGCTCGAGATCAACTTTAATTTCGTGGCAAATCAACTTTACCGCTGCTAAAAACCCAAATGCTCAGCCCCAGAGCCCCGCCGCTGCCGCCGCCACCAGCGCCTGCACCACCGAGCTGTGGTTTATTGCCATTGCGGTTGCCTTCACGCAACGTTTCCACGTAAAAGGCGATGATTTCATACGCCAATCAAAAGCAGAAAAAGAAAAGACTGGAACCGGTCTTCACACACACACACACGCACACACACTGTGGCACTGGCTGAAGAGTCGACTTAATCAGTTTAAAAAAGCGTTCAAGCATGCGAAAAAGGAGATCATAAAGTAAAGAAAAGAGAAGAAAAAACAGAAAAAGCAAAAAGTATCTCGAAGATTGCTTTGTTCAATGACGACGTCGCTGGCTATGCCGATGCCGATGCCGATGCCGATGCCGAGGGTCAGCCAATTGCCACACACACACACACACACATGGTAAATGTCTCTGTGTCTGTGTGTGTGTGAGATACTTATGGCCGTCGAGCCGCTTGGTAAATAAGCAACTTTGTTGTATCTGCGACTGGGCCCAGGCACGTTGCAAGGTACAAAATGGAGTTTCGCTGTGTGTATCTCACAATGGGAGTCTTTGTTGTTGCTGCTGCCGCCGCTGCTGCTGCTGCCGCTGCTGCTGCTGCTGCCATTTGATCGCTACCTTAATTTAAGCCAATTAACCGCCTGCAGACAGACGCCGCTCATAGGGGCACTCACATGTGCAGCTAAATTAATGGGTCTGTGCGCTCGCATACCTTGTTTCTGTGCCTCCAGCAGTAGCCGCAGCTGTATCTATATCTATATATCTATGCTTGTATCTGTATCTTGTGCCAGGCAATCAAGCGCAGAGTTCGTTGCACGTTCCGTTGGCATTTTCACTTTCACAATAGTTGTTTCCCTATACATTCCTGTCTTTTTATTGATATTACGCAGTTAATTGATTCAGATACAATTTGATTACACTCTCTCGCCCTGTCTCTCTCTCTCTCTCTCTCTCTCTCTCTCTCTCTCTCTCTCTCTGTCTCACTCAGATGCGGGCGACGCAGCTTTAGTGCCTCAAGTAATTGGGAATTATAGCATTTGTGTTTCAGTCTTCCAGCCAGCGCCCCAGCACCTAGGCTAATCATTCTAATGAGGGCTCACGACTTTGCTCCCATTTTAAATGCCATTAAAAAGCATAAATAAATATGGCAGAAAAACCACAAAAAAAGTCAAGAACTGGCAACAGCTGCTTGTATTACAGCACTTTCTGGTCGCGTTCACATTTCAGTTAATAATTTTGTGAAAATTTATTTCTTGCTGCTCGTTTAATGACGCTTTTATTAAATGAATCTGTCGGCCATTCGCTCATCTTAATAAAATATGCAAGTTGTTAAAAATGTGAGCCACAAAGAGAAACAACAACAACAGAAAGCAGAATATTAAAACACCAAACAAATTTTATGGGTTTTTTCATCAACATAATGGCGGGGTTTCTGTGTGTGTGTGTGTGTGAGTGTGTGTCTGCGTCTGTGTGTGTGTCTGCGTCTGTGTGTGTGTGCGACACTCAACACTCAACAAGTGTGTCACCAGCTCATTTAGTTCAATCAATTTTTCATAACAGAAATTATTAACACAACGTGGAAAAAGCCGTTTCGCATTTTACACTTATATTTTGTATACCCTGTAATGATTAAAAGTGCGTAACACGGGTATGCGCAGCAGCTGTAGCAGACTCCAGAGACTAAGGAGTCTTAAGCTCATTTGAACTCGACTTCCTAAGCTTAGACAGTGCAGTTCTAGTTTATAGGGTATCTGCGCGTTCAGCATGCATATTTGCCTTCTGATTCAGCGGTATTGAAAGTGTCTGCAAATTAATTTCAATTTGTGAAATGTGAAAAAAAAAACAAACGAAACCAAATAGATCTCAAATGAATTTTGATAGTCGCATCAAATATTTTTTTTGTTTGTTTTGCCCTGCAATTGTTGCTTTAGTGTTTGTTGTTGTTGCTAGCCAACTATTTGGCGCTTACGCAGGCCAATTGAAGTTGATTGATAGTACTTTATATGTATATAGTCTAGAGAGAGAGAGAGAGAGAAACGGTGAACTAGAGAGCCCATCAAAGAAGATTTTGATGTATCTTAATCTATTTTCTAGTTGATGGAATGTCTTTTATGAACACAATTTCATGGCTAGACCACTTCTAAAGCGCAAAACGTTTATATTTAGCGGCATAATAGCCAAAAATCTTAGAAAACAGCCTTTTCTTATGCTAGCTGTTAACAGCTAGTAGAGCCAAGTCCAGCTAGAGTACAGCTTTTTTAGTTAGCTTTTATTTATCTATAAGCCTTAGTGCTGGTAATTTATAGCTAACTATCTTAGAGAACAGCTCTTTTTCAGCTAGTTACCTAAACATGCCGCTGTTAATTAACAGAGTGAACTTAAGCTTTAATATACAGTCATATTTAGCGGCATGGAGAGCTACTGAGCTTAACAGTTCGCTGTTACTTAACATCGCATGCATTTTTCGTCTTTTGGCTTTAGATAAACATAAACAAATGTTGATTTGCAATGAATGGTGAACGTTAAATATATTGCCATCAAAAGTGCCAAGTTTTATGAACTTTTAAACAGAATAGAAAGAAATCAGTGGAAGAATTGGTCGGAAATGCTGTGACAGTGCGCGAGGCGCAAAATATTTTGACAGCATGTGAAACTAAACCAACAACAACAGCAGCATTTAACTCAATAAAATAAATATAATATTAGACTTGTCATGCGAGAGGTGCACATGAAATGTCGTGCGGTTCTTTGTTGTGGTTCCGATTGCCCAACTCAAAAAGAAAATGGAATGGAATCGGAATTAAGGAATTGGTGTCAATGCTGCTTCACCTGTGCGCTACACGCGCAGCCCAAAATAGTACCGAAACGAAAGGGGGCAGCTATTATAAATAATATATATAATTTGTATACGTGGTTGGGGGAAAACAGCGTAAATCAATAGTAAAAAAGTTTCATATGTGCGCGCTCTGAGGCGACAGATTCCTTTGTGGCTGTGGCTGGGAGTGGGGCTGGGGCTGGGGCTTTCTTTGGCTCTTGTTGTGCGTTCCACTAATTTTATGTGCTTTTTATTGCCAGCTTTTATTGGCCCAGACATTTTTCAGCTAAGCTCGGCTAATGCAAATTTATTTATTTCGTTTCATTTGATTTGGCCAACTTTGCTGCCACTGCTGCTGCTGCTCACGTTTAATTTATTGTCGGCGGTTGCTGGCGGACAGCTTTTACCTGCGCCGCAGCGCTCGCCTCCGATGGAACATTTCTCATGCTCATTTGGCTGTCAGTTTTTAAAGTGTTTTTAATATTTCAATGACAGGCGCTTGTCAAACACGCCCGGACGAAATGTAAACCGATGACATTTTCTACACATTTTTTGTATATTTCTCGGTCCAAGTTTCTTTTTTGTTGCGACTCAGGTAAGCGAATTTGTTGCTACTTTAGACATTTCTAATTGTTTAATTGTTGTTGCTAAAGCGCTGACGCAGTTGCAGACAAATGGCCGACAGGTGGCGCCGCTTTCAATGACAATCGCTTGGCTGGGTTGGTTTTTTTTACTTTCGCTCCGCCCGTAAATAATAAACATAAAATTTTTAGCACTTAATTATAAACAGAGACAACTCGTTGCAACAGCAGCAGCAGCTCATTTGCAGCTCGGCTACGTTTTTAGCATATTTATTAAATAAATTTTGCATAAAATTAGCTGCAAATGG